ATGATTTTAGATATTAAGATCGCATATAGCTTAGTAGAAGATACAGAGACAGAAGTTATAATTCTAAACAATTGGTGATATCTCTAAGAGAAAGTCCTCTAGGAGCTTAAACACAAACCTAGTGCCCTCAAGTCAGTTCTGATTCCTAGACACCATATAGGACAGAGTAGAACTGCCCCATCGGGTTTCTGGGGCGGTGAAAAAATATTTCAGGAAGCATTTAAGGAAATATTTAAGGAATGCCACATCTTTTTCCTTTGGAGTGACTGGTGGGTTCAAAACATGGAACGATTGTGAGCACCCTAACAGTTAACTTAATGTGCTATCAGAGTTCCTTGTGAGATCGCAAGGAGGCAATACATCATTCCAGTGGAAGCAAGATTCTTCATGTATTCTAGAAAGAAAGACTGTATAGAGGAGCGTGAGAAGACACCTGTGGTTGGACAATAGCTGTGAGTGTTCATTTGGGGCATGACCACAACAAAGGCTGTAAAGAAGGACCATGTTATGAGTACTAAAATTCACACTATATGAACTGGGAAAGATGTTGCTAGAGTTTAAGTGCAGAAAAAGCACCATCAGATTTACATTTCAGGAAAGTCACCAGTCTCTCTCCAGGGCTCAGAGAAAAGAGAAATAGTCCCGGACTGGAATACTAAAGGCATGTGTACTTGAGCAAGTTTGTCTTGGTGTTGTGGTGGGCTAACTGATGGATTGCTAATCACATCATTAGTGCTTGAAACCTTCCTGATGCTCCTTCGGAGGAAGCAAAGTGTGTGTGTTACCATGAAAATTTAAAGCCACAAAAAGATCCTATGAGTTAGAATTCATTAGATGGCAGTGAGAATTTTTTGTTTTTATCTGGGAGGGTCATTGAATAAGCAGGACTAAGATCGGGTTGAAAGGTGGGTTCGGTTGGCAGGGAAGAGAAAAGGAGAGAATATTTCTAGTAGAAGGAGGTGTGTAGTGGGAATGAATAGGGTATCTTATGGAATGAGAGAAGATTTTGAGAGATGAATGGAAATTTCATGGGTGACTGTTGATGTGGCTCAGACTAACAAAACTAATGTCTATTTTATGAAGTTCTAGACATCTAAAAACATAATAATTGCTCTTACAAATCCAAGCTGTATATATAACTCTAAACTGAATGTCTATCCATAGTCACCTATCAGATGTATATTTTTCACCACTTAGGCATTAAAAGTTGCATATGATGTATCTGACAAATGTTCATCTGACAGATGTGTAGAGTGGAAAAGATAAAATTGAACTTAATTAGGCAAAATAACTTATTTGCTGTGAGACATCTGACAGGTTTTTAAATTTCTGAGCCACAAATAGCAATGGGATTAGGGAAAAAAATTCATGTGTCAAGTAGCTAACAAAGTGGAGAGAACATGGTAAGGAGTCAATGTTAGTGCTTCTTGATCTGATCTATGAGTTATAATGACTTGTTCTCAAAAGTCTACTATCTATCAAGCTTTACATGAAATGATGTGGAAATTTAAGGGACAATTGTAAAAAAATGAAATAAAAAAAGCAAATCAGAGAAATATCATATTTCTTGGTTGTTGTGAAGTAATAAAATGATCCAAGGAGAGAACGGTTTAAGAAACACTTCTAGGTAGACATTGGGCTTCCACTCAAGTACTCCCACAATATAAGAGCGCTTTGTTCTATTAAACTGGTATTCCATGATACTCACCTTACCGACAAGATCGCTGAAGACAAATGGGTACATAAGAAAATGTGGTGAAGAAAGCTGACGGTGCCTGGCTATCAAAAGATATAACATCTGGGGTCTTAAAGGCTTAAAGATAAACAAGCAGCCATCTAGATCTAGATGAGAAGCAACAAAGTCCACATGGAAGAAGGACACCAGCCTGTGTGATCACGAGGTGTTGATGGGATCAAGTATAGTGCATTAAATAACAATAAATCATATCATTGTGAACGAGGGGATGTGCAGAGTGGGATCCCAAAGCCGATCTGTAGAAAACTGGACATCCCCTTACAGAAGGGTTGCAGGGAGGAGATGAGCCAGTCAGGGCACAGTGTAGCAATGATGAAACATAAAACTTTCCTCTAGTTCTTTAATGCTTCCTTCTCCCCACTATCATGATCCCAATTCTACCTTACAAATCTGGCTAGACCAGAGGATATACACTGGTACAGATAGGAACTGGAAGCACAAGGAACCCAGGACAGATGAACCCCTCAGGACCAGTGGTGAGAGTGGCGATACTGGGAGGGTGGAGTGAAGGTGGGGTAGAAAGGGGGAACCGATCATGAGAACTACATATAACCCCCTCCCAGGGGGACAGAAAACAGAAAAGTGGGTGAAGGGAGATGTCAGACATTGTAAGATATGAAAAAATAATAATAATTTATAAAAGGTTTGTGGGGGAGGGGAGGAAATGAGGAGGTGATACCAAGGGCTCAAGTCGAAAGCAAATGTTTTGAGAATGATGATGGCCACAAATGCACAAATGTGCTTGACACAATGGATGTATGTGTGGATTGTGAGAAGAGTTGTATGAGCTCCCAATAAAGTGATTAGAAGAGAAAAAAAAAGAAAGAAACACATCCAGGGTGGAGGATGGAGGAATTGAAACATCTGTAGACTGGGAGAGTTTGTCTTTGGTAATTCAGGCACCAGCTGACAGCCTGACCCTGATGGCAACAGGAAGAGAGAGGACAAGGACACACTGCGGAAATGGTTTACAAGTAAAGTGCATGTATGTGGAGTTGGCCTGGCTATGGGAGATGAAAGGCAGGAACAGTACAATTGGACATTGAACTTACAAGCTCAGGATACTCTGAGGGTGATGGTGTCACTAAAGTATCTTCAAGGGCACAAATGCCTGCAAGTTCCCTGTTACATCACAGCGTAGTCCCATTGGTGGTGGTTGTGCTCTTGGCTGTGTGCTCGTTGAGGAGGTGTTGGCAAGAGATGGCTGTTGAGTGGTTTTATGATCTGATCTTTTCATCATGAAAGATCTTTCCTCGAGCTGAGATAATGCCAGATATTTCTAATGGTTCTGAGTGCCTGCTGCTCATAGTTTGAATTTAGCAATTTTGTTTGTTTTGGCCATGGGTTTCAATAGGATGTTTAGCTGTTTCATAGGCAGTCTCTTCCTGCTTCTGGAAAGGCTTCTGATTTCTTCAGTGGGAGATCCTTTCTGTTCTTCTTTCTCCACAGCAATATACTTCCCAGAGAGTTACTTTTCTCTGACCTCTGTTTGGCTAGCTAACGTTGTACTGCAACACTAATTGATATTTAGGTAGTTTCTAGCTCGCCCCATCTTTAATCTTGTTATAAGATTCTTCATTTGGGGATTTGGTAAAACATAATATGTTTTTCTCTCCTGAATTGAGCAAATTCTGAAAGAAATAAAAGGAATAAAGGAGTAGGACTTTCTGTGTGTGTATGTGTATGCGTGCGTGCACAATATCACCTTTGTTACACAAAAAGACAATAGTGGAGACTGCATCTTGGATCTGGAAGTCGTCTTCCTAGACTGAGCCTCAGAATTAGACAAATGCATGCCCAGTCTTGGTAGCATGGGACGTAGACCAGCCTCATCTCAGAGCGAGAGGTTGCCCCCTGGACAGAGTAAAAGCATGCTGTTTGAATCATCCCAGTCCAAGAGAGGGAGGAGAGAAGAATATGGCTTTATATGCTTAATCTCTCCTTTCCAATTCAGTCGTGTAGAGAGGCTAGAAATATTAGTGACTGTAGCTACCTCTACATCCAAAGAAACACCAGGAGTGGGTAAGGAATGCTCCTCCTTAACCTCTAACCAGCGGTGAGTGTTTAACAATGGGTTTTCCTAAGAAAAATGCTCTGATTATAGAGCTTCCTGATTTCTAAGGTGCAAGTCTTTTAGCTGTGGGCTGATTCTCAGCCACTCACCTAATTTTGATGAAGGCAGAGTTGGGAAAAAATGCATACAATAGTCTAAGTCAATGAGAGCTAACTCCAACACATCTCTGCCTGCATCATTTGTATACTGATCCTACATTTTGTTGTAATCTGTTATTACAGGGAAAAGGGGCTCACACATTTGATAAATACTGCGATTTTGTTCTCCATAGAGTTACATTTCTACAACAGACTATGGGACTGTTTGTCTACTTACCCTCACCAATCTTTTCATTTGCTGTCATTCTCATAAAGAAAATACTGTTTATTAATTTATAGCATTCATTTGATCATTGAAGTCCTAGATGGTGAAATGTTGAAGTCATTGGGATACTTGAGTAAGAAAAACCTGCAGAGGACTTCTCAGTAAGGAAGAGTCAGCAGGGGCAGATAAAGGAGCAGAGTCTGCCAAAAGATTCCTACTTTGAAAGGGGTTATCAGGATGCAATGAGACTATAGAAATCTAGACGATTAACTTGAATAGTCTCCCGAACTAGAGTTTATTGTAGCGAATGAGAAATAACCTGCCACTGGTTTAGTAAGTGTGGTTCTGGATCTCAGAATTTACCACTCTGTGGGAACTCGTGTAATAACCGTTTCTTAACTTTCTAATGTGTGCACTTTTGTTTGTTGCTTAATATTCAATGCTGAATGAGTATATATAGCTAAATGAATGTATGATTTAAATTTAAAATAAATTAAAAATTATTTTGCTCTACCTAATAACTGGGAGCAAATCAAAGAATATTTTCTTTGTAGACAACAGTGGAGTTCCTCAAAGGTTTATGAGTGATGCAATGGGGTACAACAGATTTCTCTTAATGGAAAGGTTGCCAATTTGAGTTCACCTAGAGGTTTATAAGAAGAAAGGCCTAACGATTTACTTTTGAAACACCAACTGCTGACAACCTTATTCTATGCTGACGTCCATGGCGTAGTCTCGACTTGGATTGACTCAGTCATGGTTTCTGGTGTGTGGTTGTTGTTCATATGCTCTCGGTGAAATGGATTAGCATTACAATTTTTGCTTGTTTGATTGCAGACCTGTCCTTTCCTGGCAGCCTCATACCTGATGGGATCCACGGTTCATACAAGTAACGTGACCGAGTTAATTCTCACTGGCCTCTTCCAGGACCCAGAGGTGCAGAGCGTGTGCTTTGTGGTGTTCCTTCCTGTGTACCTGGCCACAGTGGTGGGCAATGGCCTCATCGTGTTGACAATCAGTGTGAGCAAGAGTCTCCATTCCCCCATGTACTTCTTCCTTAGCTACCTGTCCCTGGTGGAGATCAGTTACTCCTCTACTATTGTCCCTAAGTTCATCACTGATTTGCTCACCAAGATTAAAACCATCTCCCTGCAGGGCTGTATAACTCAGATCTTCTTCTTTCACTTCTTTGGGGTGACAGAGATTTTGTTGCTCACAGTAATGGCTTATGATCGCTATGTGGCCATCTGCAAACCCTTACACTACACTACCATCATGAGCCGGTCTGTATGTCACTGTCTGGTGGCAGGTTCCTGGCTGGGCGGCCTAATTCATTCAATGGTTCAGATTCTAGTCACTGTCCAATTGCCCTTCTGTGGCCCCAATGTAATTGACCACTATTTCTGTGACCTCCATCCCATCTTCAAGGTTGCTTGCGCTGATACTTTTATGGAGGGTGTCATCGTGTTGGCTAACAGTGGTTTAATCTCTGTCATATCCTTTCTCACTTTGGTATCTTCTTACGTTGTGATCTTGGTCCACTTGAGGAATCATTCCGCAGAGGGGAGGCGCAAAGCTCTCTCCACCTGTGCCTCCCACATCACGGTGGTCATCTTGTTCTTTGGACCTGCCATCTTCCTCTACTTGAGGCCCTCTTCCACCTTCACTGAGAATAAACTGGTGGCGGTGTTCTACACGGTCATCACCCCCATGCTGAACCCCATCATCTACACCCTGAGAAATGCAGAGGTGAAGAATGCTATGAGAAGGTTGTGTGGCAGGAAAGTGAACTCAGGAGTGGAGAGACAATGAAAGGAATATAAAATAAAAAACAACCTCTGAGCAGAGCGATCAATCATGTGTTTTGATTTTCGTCAGCTATGAAAGAATATTGAAAAATTAAACCTATTAATATTTTATGTTGAAGATTAAGGGAGGTACTTTAATCCATCGTGTTTATTAGCTCTCAATGATGATTATCCGTCTTTAGGAGAATGTGGTAGGTGTATAGTGCTACTTCTCTTTCCATTAAAGTGCAAAGTGTGTGCATTCTAGGGAAAGATGATCTAGATTAATATTTCCACCCATTTGTTTACTTATGGTGTAAACTTGGATTCAATCATTGCACCTCTTTGTGTTAGCATGTTGTGCTGTATGGAAATATTGTAACATGTGGACAGAGAAGATTCTGTTTCTCCTTACTGGCATGGTCTTTATGTGTCCCAGGAAAGCTTCTCTACTTCTTTTGGTACTCCTACCCCATGAACCTGATTCCAATGTCTGAAAATACTCAGTAGAACTCCATTTCATGTAGAGGAGCATTTTTAGTTACAGATGTCCTGGGAGATAAAATATAATAAAAATGCTAGTAAACATGAATATTTTGTTAGGCTGGGTTCTCCAGAGAAGCTAAACTAGTGACACATGTCTATCAAGAGAGAGGCTTATAAAATAGCAATGACTCATACGTTGTAAAAGTGGTTTAGTCTCATTTGGCTTGATTCTGTGAGACATATGTTAAGCTGGAGGCTCTTTTGGGGTCATGTGGCTGCCAAACTGGGAACCCTGGAAACAAAGAAGCAGGAAGATGTAGCAGGCAGACGAAGCAGGGGACTATGATTCGTCGATGCAGAGGTGGATCAGCAGACTAGATGTTATAGCAGGCAATTGATATCTCCCTGACCAGTAGGCAACATGGCAGGCCATTATTGGTTCAAGTCTGAATAAGGGGTCAACTGGAGTTTATATTATGTTAGGTCACATCATGGGAGAGGCTTTATTTCTCAACTATGGAGGATCCTGGCCCACCCAAATTCACTTAAAACATCACAAATATATCACTCTCAATTTTACAGAAATCTTCCACTACTATGCATTGAAATTAACAAAACAATGCATTTATAAATACATCCAGTAATAAGTACAGGCATAACACAACCTGATGAAATATTGCTTAAGCCAAATCTAGCTTACCACTTGTTTTTGTATGACCTGTGAGCTAAGAATGACTTTTACATTTTTAAATTGTCTAAATGATCAAAATAATATTTTAATCGCATGTGAACATGATATGAATTTCAAATTTTAGTTTTCATAACAAAGTTAATTGGACTCTAATTTACATATTTTCTTTGGCTGCTTCCATTATACAATGTCTGGTTTGAGCCATTGCACAAAGACTGTGTGGTCATAATACATGATATATTTACTATCTGAGCCCTTATATAAAAAAATTTACCGACCCCTAGCTTATGCCATAATGAAATTTATTGCTTACTCAATGTGTTAGGTTGGAAGGCCAAATGGTAGGCTACTGTTGGCTCCTGGATAAGCAGGCAATCTGGCAGGATCTTGGCTCAAGTCCAAAGACCCAGATCTTGATGAGCAGATCCAGGATCCAGTGCAGTACCTTTTTCTTTTTATCTTTCTTTACAAGACTTAGTTGATTGCCTAGTAAGTCTACTCTGTCCAAGATGGTTGTCCAATGTGGCTACTTGATATTTGAAATGTGGATAGTGTGAATGGACATTGAATGATCAATTTTACTTAAAGTTTACATTACATTTTACATTAAACCTGTGTAAATTATTTTGAGATGATAAAATTTTAGATATAGTGAGTTAAAGAAGATATTTTAATAAGTTAATTACACTCAATGTATTTGCTTAAAAAAATCTTCATTTACTGCAGCAAATGAAAACCCAGCAAGACAAATGAACGTTATTCACATTATAAAACTCATCATTGGTGGAATGTGGATTCATCATTGATGTATTTTCTTCTCCTGTGCTACTTTATACTCTGTAATTAAGAATTTCCCATCTCCCCATATCCTATAATCACTAATAAACTTTGATCTCTATGTACTTGCCATTTTAGATGTCTCATCTAAGAGGGGTATTTGTCCTTTTAATCTGATTCATTTCAATCAGCGTTGTTTTTTCCAGATTCATCCATCCTGTATCAGGACTTCATTTCTCTTTATGGCTGAGTAATACTCCATGGTATGGATATACCACATTTTTTGTATATAGTAATTAGTATCTTTTAACCTATAAGTGAATATGTTATGCCATCAAACAGAATATCATCAAAGAGGCCTCTGGATTGACCAAGTGGATTGACCTTGATCAAATGCCAAATTACTGGAAAACGTAATTGTCCACCAACATTTCCACAAGAGACTTTACAAAAATTTGCAGTGGATGCATTTCCTGACCCCCCCTTAGGCACTTTATGTTTACTTTTGTTATAAAATATTTCTATTATAAATCCAGTGTCATTTCGATTTCACAAATGTTTCCCAATAAATTGTGTTACTACATGCAGAGAATACCTATTCCATGTTTATGGATTCCCAGCACTTGAAACATATTAGGTGTTCAATAAACTTTGTAGAGGAAGGAAGGAGAGAGAGGGATAGAGAATAGTTTTAATATTAATTATTCAATTAATTTTCATTTTATTTTACTTAAAATAACAAAAGTTTGTGTTACATATTTTCCCCCTACAGTTTATTGGCAAGTAATCTACATATAATATAATGTAATAGTTCAGTAGTTTCTATTTTTAGATTTTTCTGATTGTCCTGGTTTTAGAACTATCCGTCATCAAGTTTATACTTGATAAAAGCATAAACTCCAATTTCTAGCTGTATGGCTTTAATCATGTTATTTGCTAATTTAACCAGTGTCTTCATATGTAAAGTATAAATAAATAGAGTTGGTGTGAGGATTAAATAAATTAATGCATACAAATGGGAGAAAGATGAGGCAGTTTGCTTATGTGAAGATTTACAGAAACTCCAAGCAATAGTTCTGCTCTCTCCTAAGGGTTGCAATGATTTGGAATAGACTCTATAGTGTTGAAAAAATAGATACATTCTGCCCCAAATGTATATATAACTAACAATAGGAAATCTTATGGAAATTTAGATAATTTAATCAATATTGTGTATACAACAAAGATGAGAAGTATAATGCAAAGAAGAAAGATTATAAACGAATTCACTTACTGACAAAGTTTAGAAATATCTCTGTAATTTTTCTACTTTGGGTGCGATGCATCTGCTATCTAACCAATCCTAAACACCACACCTAGTAATTTGGAATTGCTGGCTGGGGCTCAGAGTTCTTTGTTCTGCAGTCTGAAACAAAGCTTATTTTCTGCTATGAAATCAGACTTCACCGTGTGCAGGGTTTTGTCACTTGAAAGTCTAATGTAACCCTTTTTAATTTTTTTCAAATAGTTTTATTAGGATATAATCCAAACATCATATCATTCAATAGTTCAGTCATATCAAGCAGTGTTGTACAATCACTACCACCGTCATTTTCAGGACATTTTTTCCCTTCTTGTACTCCTCTATACATTTCCTCATTCCCCATCCCCTCCCTCGTCATACTCCCCAGGAATCCTTATTCTGGTTATTGTCTCTACAGATTCACTCAACATGGATTTCCTCCACTGAAAGACAAAAGCATGCATGACAGAGAGTCAAGAACACTACCAGCTATAGCAGAATACAAATGAGATCAGCCCCACTTTGAAAAACAAGCAGAAACAAACACCCCACCCCCTGGAAATAATAAAAACCAGATCAAATGCAAAGTGTCTTAAAAGGGAGATCAAGTGTCAAGGTTTTAACCACACAAATCAGATGTATTATTTTAATTTACTATAATAATCTCTCCAATACTCTGTCTGATAACTAGGCTATTTCCATCCCTCACTGCCAGTCAGAGGGTAATCACAGGAGGCTTATTCATCTGTAGACCTTGAGATTGTATTTTGGGTTTCTACTGTCATCTATAGCTTTCTGCAAACAAGAATCACAATTTCAACTCAGATACCATTCCCTCCTTTGGATTTGGATTATGTAATTTACAATCCTTGGATCACAGATGTCTGTGTCCTTTTTCCAGGTGAGCTTAGTTGAAGGCTCACTTAGATGGCTGCTTGTTTGAAAATAAGCCTTGAAGACATCAGACACCATTCCTTCTGATAGCCATGCACCATTAATTTCTTCACCACAGTTTTCTATAGCTCCCATCTCTTGCATGTTTCTTTCATGGGTGTGCACATCGAGCAGGGCCATGTTGTAAGAACTAGTAGTTCATAGATTGGCATTAGAATTAAAATGAGTGCCCCCAATCCATTCCTAAATCTGTGTTTTCTATCTGTCTCTGGTTCACCTTAGATATATCATGGATGATTGGTGGATAATCTTAACAATTATTTCCCTGGAGCATACGTTCCTTCTGTTGATAGTGTCATTGATTTAGGCTATGGTAATGCATTTAAAACTCAACTGAGACAGGGAGATAAAACAAGTGTGGGCTAAGTACATATCACAATACATGGATTATTGACTTGCACAGATTAAGTTCTTACCGGACTGGATACGATTTACACAAACATTGGGAGATGTCAGTTAATCAAACTTACAGTGATATTCACTGATCATGTCAAACTCAGTTCTACCAGAATACTATATATATTAATAAAGCAAGTAAGGCATTGGACTGGTAAGTAAATGTTAGTCTGCCTGCAAACGAATCAATACTCTTGGTGTAGCTGTCCTCTGTGTCTTCATACTCCATGTAATTTCAGCCGTAGGTCCTCAGGTTTCAGGTGTGTGAGGTAGAGCCTTAAAAGAAGCAGAAAACAAAAACAGAAGCAGAGGTGGTTGTCTTTCTCCCGTGGCGCAGCTGTTGTGTTCACACTGCTGACCTGTTGGTGAGCATCTCAATATTTAACCCACTGTGGCCCAGAGCTCCTTTCATAAACTACACTCGTGTGAACACAGGAAC